TGATTTCCAGACAACGACAATTCGCCTGGAGAAAATGGGTGCTTTGGGAGGTGGACTCTATATGGCATTATACCCCATTGAAATCCCTCCCTTCCCGAAACTCCGTCCTCCTCAGGCTCCACCCCCAAAGTCTCCTGGTGGAGCTGGCTGGGTGACCTTGGGCCAGTCACATACTTGCATCCTCACCTGTTTTGTGAGGATATAATGGAAGAGGCAAGAACAGCGTAAGCCACTTTGGGTACCTGTTGAGGAGAAAGGTGAAATATAAATGAAGTGAATTTTTTTAAAAAATCACAGTTTCCCCCCCATGTTAAAGCTCCGGCTGCCCCCAAAGCTCTCCAGAATAACTCTGTTTTGCAGCCTTGCTGCACAGGTGGCTGTTTTCAGAGGTAAAGGTAAAGGTAAACGTTCCCTTGCTCGAAAGCCAGTCAAATTTGACTCTAGGGTTGTGGTGCTCATCTCCGTTTCAAAGCCGAAGAGCCAGCGCTGTCCGAAGACGTTTCCGTGGTCATGTGGCCGGCATGACTAAACACCAAGCCGCACGGAACGCTGTTACCTTCCCACCGAAGTGGTCCCTATTTATCTACTTGCAATTTCTTGCTTTCGAACTGCTAGGTTGGCAGGAGCTGGAACTAGAGACAGGAGCTCACCCTGTCTTGCGGCACCCGGGTCTTGAACTGCTGAACTACTGACCTTCCACAGCCTGCAGTTCAGCGTCTTAACCACTTGAGCCACCGCAGAGGCAGGGGGCTAAAAAGTCTGAGCCGAGATTGGGCAGAATATTTAAAAAAAACCAACAACTGGGGACAAGCCACATAATGCCAACCGAATGACACACAGCGGCATGCAAGCTGTCACGTTTTCCAGGACTCTTTTGTCTGGCTGGATGTTATAACAAGAAGTTTAACAAGAAAATCTGCCCCGGGAAACAGGGGGTACTGCTGCTGATAGCCCTTGCTAGGAAGACTGGAGCTGCCACACAGGAATGGGCAGGGATTTGTCAGGAAAGAAGCGGTGGAGTGACATGGAGAGAACAACACCCCCCCTCCCATCTTGGCATCTTGGGGGGTTAAATCGGCTTTGTGATTCCCCCCCCTCCAGTTCCTTTCAGCTGCATTTGAGTAGGGTTTCTTTTCATTTTTTGCAAAGGGATTTGTAAAATGAGCAGGACAACTTTTGAAATTTGAAAAACCCAATTGAACAGCAGTTCTCATATTCCGAAGCTGAGCCCTGACTGTTGAAAACAGGTTCCGCAAGTGGGCCTTAATTTGTATGTGAGGAATTAAGTATCTCTGTTTGCTGCCATCCGGTAAAGTTGCAGCTCCTCTGAATTCTCTTTCATGATGTGAAGGGCAGCATTCAGTGTATTACAACGAGAGAGGGTACATCGCAGAAACCCTGCCCCCAGTGGGAACTGGATGGGGACGATGGAATGGTGGCAGCCATGATGGGGGGGGGGTGTCTATGGGATGCAGAGATTCCCGGTTCTGGCCAGGAATCCCCATTATTGTTTTTGTTTGGGTTGTTAACCCATGGGTAGAGATGTAAAATTTCCAGAAATTTTGAAGCTTGGAAAAAACCCCAGTTTTTTCCCGGTTTTTTTGGGGGGGAAACGGAAATTTTCAGAAAAATTGAAAAATGCTACATTAGCAATTTTTTTTGTCTTTTCTAGATTGAAAGTCATTCTGTTACTTTAGGAACATAAAATATGACTATGGACATTTTTACTTGGCATGAAATTATCACAACTAGCATATTAAAAATAAGTGTATCCAAACAATTATTACAAACAGAATACCCACCCACATGCAAAAACAAAACTGAAACCTTTTTATTGTCTTCTGACAATAGCACCTCCTAAAGGAAGAAATGCATCTTGTTCTTGCATTGGAGAGTTCAGTTTGTAACCTACAGCTTGCTTGTCCTCAGTGCACAGAAATTAGATCAATCTGATACCATATATATATATTTTAGAAATGATTTGGAAAATATTTGAACACCTTGTCTTAAAATATTTTATTCATCATGTTAAAATAAAACGTTCCATAATCAATTTCTTTTCTTTTTTGAGGTCTAGCAGCTTGCTGTCCGGAATGCAAACTGACTTTGTGTCCCCCAGTGGCTGTCCCATTTGGTGTGTTGACGTGACACATACTGAAATCAGCAATGAGTCATGTTTGTGTGGCCTGAGCGTGTGTAGACGAGACCCTTCATTCATTGGATGAAGAAGACAGGCAAAGGTGTGTGAGAGAATGGGTGAGCATGCAACCCCACAAAGTAAGACCTCAGATGAATCAGCTGGAGCGAATGATGTTCGTGCTCTCAGCCCCCTCCTCTCTGTACAATGCCATCTGTTGAATAGTTGCAGTTTAGAGCAGGGGTGTCGAGCTTAAGGCCCGGGGGCCAGAACCAGCCCATCCAGGGCTCTTATGCCGCCCGCAAACAGCTGGTGCGAGGGAGAGAACAGGAGACTGCTTGGGGAGGGGAGTGGCTGGAGCCACTTTGTTTGTGACTTCAGCGTGGCGGAACAACCTCATCTGCAGCAGTCAAGCGGCGTGGGAGCCTCTGCCCAGTGCTGCACCGCTGGATCTCCAGTCCGCCCGCGTGGGTTTTCCTCTGCACCCTCTCCCAGCCCACGGGGGCCTTGCAGTGAGGTTACTCGGCGCTTACAAGGCGCTGTCCTTTATACAGTTTATATCTCCAGTATCTGGCATTAAGTGTTATGGCAGGCATGGCCCAGCCTGACAAAGTGATATTTATGTCAGATCCAGCCGTCATAACAAATGTGTTCGGCACTCTGGTTTAGAGAATCTCAATTACGCGGGCTAGGTTGGGGTTCTAAAGGCATTTATGGTTTGGCCTTCTAGAAGAAGCTTGGGAAAGTGACAGTGCAATCTTATTTATTTGTTTACTTCGTTTATAGGCCACCTTTCTCCCCAGTGAGGACCCAGAGCGGTTTACATCATTCTTGTCTCCATTTTGTCTCACAACAACCCTGTGAGGTAGGCTGGGCTGAGAGTATGACTGTCTCAAGGTCACCCAGTGAGCTTCCGTGGCACGAGTGCGGTGTCGAACCTAAGTTTCCCAGCTCCTAGTCCAACACTCTTAACCGTTACACTACACTGGCCCTCTCTGGTCCGAAGCAGAGTTCCATCTTTCTGACTCAGCCTACGGATATCAAGGTCTTTAGTGTGCTGAATCTATGAGATTGGGACAGATGGGAGCATCCTCTCTTTGGGTTGGGGTGGGGAGGCAAATCATGGAGCAAGTTTTCTATTGACGTTCACCACCATTCCTCAGCGCTTCTAAGAAAGCGTTAAGGTTAATGTGCCGCTTTGATTTTATGGGCAGTTGTAGTTGTTTTCCTGCTTAAAGTCTCTTTTGGTTAGGCTTACGGGCATTTGAGTCTTGGTTTCATTTTTGTTCTCTGCCCTAGGGAAGAAAAGAACATAAGAGGTATCCTGCTGGACCGGACCAGTGGTCCAGCTATGTCAGTCTCTTCCCTCTTCCGCAGAGGAGCTAGTTGCTGATGGAGGGCCAGGTGGTGGTTGGGCCATGCTGGTTTCTGGAGTGGCCTGTGTTCCCTCTTGCTGGCCTTCTGCAGGTGGGGAAAGCTAGAAATGCTTTGTTGGGCTGTCCTAGTAGGACCAGGACACGAGAGCTGCTGTTGATGGCTCTGAAAGGAAGTCAGGCTTTTTCAGTGCAGGGCGGTGCTGTCTGGTGTGTTTTCTGGCTTACTTGAATGGCATTCAGCGATGCCTGATTCTGGTTTGGTGGTTAATTTCTAGGAGTAGACCTCTGTGCTCCTGCCTGTGGACCCCATAAGCTAATGTCGGGTGGGGTGAGGCCTACCTGTGCCAACCCAGTGCAGGAGCTGCCGTGTGCTCGGACAGGCACTTGTTGGCTCTGATTTTACACAGCTGATCCTTGTCATTCCAAGCAGGTTCTGAGGTTCAAGCTCTGGTATGCCACGGCTGAAAATAAGACTTGGCCTCACTCTGCACTGGTGGCAATGCGATCTTGTTAGACTCCCTAAGTTAAAACCTGTAGTTAACACCTGTAGCGTGGAAGCAAACCATTATCGTGATTGAATCTTAATGGGATAGTATCTGACTTCGCACTCTAATTAAGGTATTTTGGAGTTAAACTCATTAAAGTGAGAGCCAGCTTGGTGTAGTGGTTAAGAACAGCAGGCTCTAATCTGGAGAACTATTCCCCACTCCTCCTCCACATGAAGCCAGCTGGGTGACCTTGGGTCAGTCCTAGTTCTCTCAGAGCTCTCTCAGCTCCAGAAGGTATCTCTTGTGGGGAGGGGAAGGCAAGGCAATTATAAGCTGCTCAGCGACTCCTTCGGGTAGTGAAAGGCAGGGTATAAAACTGACTCTTCTTCTTCTTCAAAGTCAGAGTTCACAATAGCCGTGATCGGGGTCACCCGAAGCTTAACCTTACCTCCAGTACTCAGCCAGTCTGAAAGATGGTACACAAATATTTCAAATAACCCATTAAGGAGATGTTCGCTGTAATACGCTGGAGTGACTTTGAGCCATTCTTAATTACCAGGGCAGGACTAGATATTGCAAGGCTAGCCTTTTAAAGGTCCTGAGATATGCTGATATGAGGAAGGCGGGTGGGGTTGTAGGAAGAATGGGGGAGGGATTGTGTATGGTAGCGTGTTGTTCTTAGTATGTCAGATAAGACCCAGGTTCAAATCCCCACTCTGCCATAAAGGCTCGCTGGGTGACCTGTTGAGCCAGTGACACCCTCTCCACCTACCGCTCAGGGTTGTTGTGCAGATGAAATGGAGAAGGGGAAATGTTATAACCGATTTTCCCCCCCACTGTTGGGGAGAAAAATGAGATGCAAATGAAGTAAGTAAACATACTAAGAATAACCTGATGTCACCTTCCTGTCTTGATATTGGAACAGGTGTGCCCCATCCTCTTGAGTGTGATTTTCCTTGGTGTAGGCAAGATCCGTTAACAGTGTTCCTTGTTCCGTAGGATCCAGCAATGCATGCGAGAAAACCTCCTTCACGTTCCTGCGCCAAGAGCTCCCTGTCCGGCTGGCCAACATCATGAAGGAAATCAATCTCCTCCCGGACCGTGTGCTGAGCACCCCCTCCGTTCAGCTGGTGCAGAGCTGGTGGGTTCCTGCCTTGCTCCCCCCCCCCCCCCCGGTCCTGTCGGCATGCTGTAAGAACCGCAGGAGACTGAGCCACCATTTCGCTTTCCGATTCTGGAAATATGTACAATCAAGTTCAGTTCCTTGGAATTCTGGAGTGGGTAGGAACTCACAAAGGTCCTTTAGGTTAAAGGTGTTGAACTCGTTTGTGACGAGGGCCAGATCTGACATAAATGTCATTTTGTCGGGCCGGGCCACATGTGCCATAAAATGTAATGCCAGGTACTAGAGATACAGGCAACAATATTATTTTTTACACAAAATACAAACAAAAGCAATTGATTGCTTGCAGTGAAAACAATTGATTTAGCTGGGATCCCATAAAAGCCCCAATAAATGTAATTAATCATATGCAAGGCTAGGTTTTTTGCAAGGGATACCATAAAAGGGGGAGCACCTTACATTTCCATACATACCAGTTGCTCGCGGGCCGGTTAAGAGCCCTGGACCGGCCAGTTCTGGCCCATGGGCCTTATGTTTGACACCCCTGCTTGAGGTCATCCCTCTCTCTGCTTTTGAGAGGGAACGTTTTAGACGTGGGTCTCACAAACTGCCGATGTGGGGGCAAAACTGTGTATGATTTGAATTACTGCAGGTGAGGCCTGCCAGGCTAGAAGAACAGAAAAATCGAGCTGCCAGTAGAAAATAGGCACATCTGGGAAGTGGCTAGGCAGTTCCCTGAAATGCTGCTTTTCCTGTGCATGGGGAATTTCTTCAAGGAGGGGCATTCAGTCCTCACCTTCTGCCTGAAGGGGTACAGGTAGGATTGTTGACCTCCAGGTGGTGGCTGGAGAAATCCTGGGGTTACGAGTCTTACGACTGAACTCCAGGCAAGAGAGATCAGTTCACCTGGAGGAAATGGCCGCTTTGGAAGGGAGGCTGCATGGCATTCGTGTCCCTCCCTTCTCCAAACCCCGCCCTCCTCAGACTCCACCCCTAAAGTCTCCAGGTATTTCCCAACCTGGAGCTGGCTACCCTAAGTGCAGGTTTGCCATCACTTCTGCTGCTCATGAGATGTAGGACTCCGATTTTAGGCTGAGAGAGCGAGAGAGGGAATGACTGGCCTGAGGTCATCCAGCAAGCTTCATAGTAGGGCTTTGAATCCAGGTCTCCAGATCCTGGTCTGATGCTCTAACCACTACACAACTGTTGCCTCTCTTCAGCAAAGGTCCTGCTTCTCCCTGCAAGTCCCTGTCTGTATCTGTTCCGAGGGTGCATAGCTCAGTGGCAGAGAGAGCATCTGCTTTGCACACAGAAGGTCCCAAGTTCAGTCTTCAGCATCTCCATCTAAAAGGACCAGGAGAAAGGTGATGGGAAAGATCTCTCCCTGAGACCCAAGAGAGACTCAAAGCCAGTCTGAGTGGACAATACTGACCTTGATGGACCAGTGGTCCGATTCAGTATCAGGCACTTCTGTGTGCCCCCTTGTTCTCAGGTTAATTCATTGTGTTCTTGGGGCTCACCCATTGTCTCTGGGTGCTGATGGATAAATGTTTAATCGTCAGCTTTTTGGGGGGAAGGAATTTAAGTACAGGGTGTTTTTTAAAAAAAAAATAACAGCAAGCCAATGTAAATGCTCTTTTTAAAAAGTCATAGTGAAAGCATGCAAGAAGTAACGATCACTTAAAAATGGGGAAGAGTCAGGGACTTGGCTTGCTATAAAGCTTCAGCAAACTAGATCTTAAACCCTGCCACTTTATTCAGCCAGCGTGGAGAAAACAGTAAAATAATCCTTTTCCTTCCAGTCTGGTTAGTTAAAGAGGCTGTTTTCAAAGCATAATAACCCGGGAGTCTTCACTTGTGCTCTGATTGTCCACACAGGACTGTTGCTTTGCAGGTGTGTTTTCAGTAGAGAAAAAGAATAATAACTACAAGTTAGGCCTTTTAAAAAGACGGAAGCGCAGAACATAGTCCGGAGGTTTGGCTGCAATGTCATCAGAAGACTGGAGGTCCAAGAAAATGGGATGAGGAAATCGTGGCAATTCCAGATTCAGCTGGGTTTGGTGTGGAGCCATCCAAACGTCATAGTGCAGCCTTAAGCCGTTCCCTCCTAAACTACTGCTGCTGCTGCTGCTGCTGCTGCCTTGGACAAGGGAGTCTTCCCTCATTGCCGGAACCATCTGCTCTCTGACACCAACACCCCTTTCATGGCTTCAGAGAGGCTGCAGACAGCTGCCTCTACTTTCAAAGGGCCTGGTGTGTGTCAGAGTCACAAGTTATATGCCTTCTACCGAGTCAGGCGACTGCTCTGTGTTGTTTTCTCTGATTGGCAGGTGGGCTCTTCAGGCAGAAGTCAGTGACTGCAACCACCCAGGACAGCTGCCTTTTAACACCTGATGCCCAGGATTCAACCTGGGACCTTCAGCGTGCAAAGTGGACATTCTCCCACTGTGCCATGGCCCCTCCCCTAAACTAATCAATATGTGGATAGCCCAGGCGGGCCCAATCTCTTCAGTTCTCAAAAGCTAAGCAGGGCCAGCCCTGGTTAGTATTTGATGGGTGACCTCCAAGGGATACCAGGGCTGCATCACAGAGCCAGACAATGGCAAACTGCCTCTGAAATGTCTCTTGCCTTAAAAGCAAGTCTAGCTCACCACATAGTGGTGCTGACAGGGCTATTTTTGGGCAGGAACGCACAGGAACGGAGTTCCGGCTGGCTCCCAAGTTGACCACGCCCAGCGGGAACTCATTAGCATAATAGGCCACACCCAACAGCAGAAATTCATTAGGATTGGCTACATTAGGGGTGTGTGGCCTAACATGCAAAGGAGTTCCTGGTACCAAAAAAGCTCTGGGTTTTGACAACAAACAAGGTAAACAGAATAACAAGCAAAAGGTGGGTGTGGCTGGATAACCACACTTCTGGTAACATGGGGGTGCATCCTAATGTGCTAATGAGCTGTGCTGGCAGGGGTGTGGCCTAATATGCTAATGAGTTTCTGGTGTTGGGTGTGGCCTATTATGCTAATGAGTTCCTGCTGGGCTATTTCTACAAAAAGAGCCCTGTTAAGCCTGAAAGAGCTAGAACTTGTGGCAGCCAGACAGGATCTTCTGGCTATACGACACACACTGCCTGATGACGATAAAGTGAATCTGCTTCACGCTGAGTCAGACCAGTGGTCCCTGAAAGTCAGCATTGCCTACTCTGACCTGCAGCAGCCATGAAGGTTCTCGGGGCAGAGTCGTTCACGTCATCGCCCACGGCCTGGCCCTTTTAACTGGCGATGGAGGGGACTGAACTTGAGCCCTTCTGCATGCCAAGCAGATGCTCCCTTTCTCTGACTAGGGTCTCCTTCCCGAAGGGTGATTTGGCGGGTAGGGGGCGGAAAGGTGCAAGGCGTGAATGATTCGTTTGTCTGAGTCTGGAGGAGAGAGGATTGTGGATTCCCGGGTCTTCCTCCTTCCTGGGTTCTGTTAGCAGTCACCCGGCAGTGTGAAGGTTTCCTGCATTGTGTCCCTGGCAAAGGAAGCTCTGATTCAGGAAACCTTCTGTTGGAATAGCTGTGAGTCCTTAAAGGGCCTCCAGCCTGTTCCAGCCCTCAGCCGGAGAGTTCAGGGTAGTCAGATCTGGGAAGCTAAGCAGGGTCAGCCCCGGTTAGTGCCTGGATGGGAGACCCCCCCCCCCCAAGGCACCCCCGGGCCGCCAACGGCAGGCAAGGGCAAACGGCCTCTGAATGTCTCTTGCCTTGAAAGCCCTATGGGGTGGTCGGCAACGCTCCCTCTAAGCTGTGGAATCTCGTGAGCAAAAGTTCTACTTTGTGAGCTGCTGGCATAAAAGTCGTGAGCAAGTGATTTGGCTGCTGCCTACATTAGTTTGCTCTGGAGCCCTCCTTCCGGAGCTAAGACACAAATGTGTGAGCCGGAGGCTAAAAAACTGTGAGCTAGCTCACACTAACTCAGCTTAGAGGGAACACTGGTGGTTGGGTTGCCAGCTCTGGTTTGGGAAATACCTGAAGATTTGGGGTGAGGCCTGAGGAGGGTGGGGTTTGGGGAGGGGAGGAACCCCAGCAGGGTATAAAGTCATACAGTCCACCTTCTCCGACCTGTATCGCCCAGGCTAACCCGATCCCGTCAGACCTTGGAAGCTAAGCTGAACAGGGTCAGCCCTGGCTAGTATTTGGAAGGGCGACCTCCAAGGAATACCAGGGTCCTGACGCAGAGGCAGGCAATGGCAAACCACCTCCGAAACGTCTTCTGCCTTAAAAGCGACTCTAGCTCGCCACCTAGTGGTGCATAATGCTAAAAGAGCTGGTGCCTCTGTCTGCCAGACCGTCTTAGGATCTCCCGGCTACACCTCACACACTGCCGTACGATAAGTAATTAACTCCACCGTCCAAAACAGCCATTTTCTCCAGGGGAACTCTTCTCTGCCGTCTGGAGACCAGTTGCAGTTCAGGGAGATCTCCAGCCACCGCCTGGAGGCTGGCAACCCTACAGGGGGTGGGTATAAGTTGGCTGCGACTGGCTGTGACTTGACAGCAGGGGGGGGGAGAAGCTAGTTCAAGGTCACTGAAAGAAATCACTAAAGGGGGAGGGAGGAAAAATTGCAGGCAGCCCTTTCTGAGAGCGTGGTGCCCCGAATGTGTCAGCGGCCTGACCTTTGCTCCATTTCCAGCAAGCATGTGATGGCCGGTTTGTTTGTCTCGCTCCAGATTCCCTGCCTCTCCCCCCCCCATCCTTTTGCAGTTGCTGAGCAACCTGGCATAGGAAACTCACGCTGTGCATTGCCAGGCCGCCCTGCCGCCCCGCTCACCGGTGCAGAGAGCCAAGTTAATTGTTGCAAAGCCCACTTTCTTCCTCTCCCCCTCCCCGCCCCACCTGCCCCTTTCCCCAAGCAGGCTTTGGAATCAGGCCATTTCCCTACCAGGCCGCTTCTGCTGCAGGACGGGGCTGGCCCGTTTAACTCTTTGCCTGCAGCCGCACTTCCCGTCCTGCCGCCTTGGCCGATGCTTCGGACGCTCGGCTCTTTCTGCCCAGCAAACCTGTGATGAGTTGGAGCGTTCGCGGGCCTTCCCGTCAAGGGCTGCAAATATGCCTGTGTGTCTTTGTACCCCACTTACTGATTACTGCCCTGAGCCAGATGGCCCAGACTAGCCCAGTCTTGTCAGATCTCAGAAGGTAACCAAAAATATAGAAGCTGTAAAGGTAAAGGTTCCCTTGCTCGAAAGCCAGTCGAGTCTGACTCTAGGGTTGCGGTGCTCATCTCCGTTTCCAAGCCGAAGAGCCAGC